ACTATACCACACTTTATTTATGCATTCTACTGTTGATGGACATTTGGCTTGTTTACAGTTTGTGGCTTTTATGAATGCTGCTCCTGGGAACATTCTCATACATGTCTTTTAGTGCATATCTTGTCATATTCATTTCTGTTGGATTCCCAGAAGTGGAATTGCTGGGTTGTGGATGACACATATATGATCAGCTTTAGTAGATACTATCAGTTTTCCAAAGTGGTGCTACCAGTTCACAGTCCCACCAGCACTAAGGGTTGCAGCTGTGCCACATTCTCACCAGCACTTGGTATAACTCACTGCATTTTGATTTCTGCTCTTACCACTCTGCTGAACTGCCCTTGCCAAGATAAATCTGACAGTTTTTCATCTTCATGTTCCTTGTCCATTTTGCAGCATTGACGAGCTCGCCTATCCATCCTTGAAATGTTCTATTCCTTTGGATTCTGTGATACCAGTCTCTCCTGTTTTCCTCCTACCACTTGGTCACTTCTTCTGTTTACTTCTCAGCTCTTTATCCTCTCTTCATCCCTTAACTGTAAATGTTCCCCAAGGTTTATCTTTAGTTTCTTTCTTTTAACTCTATTATATGCTCCCTGGATGATTTTTATCTACTTTCATGGCTTCATTTGCCACCTATATGGGGAAAGTGCCCAAAGTTATATCTCTGGTTAAAATCACTCTTCTGAGTGCCAGACCTGCTTATCCAGCTATCTACTGAAATATTCTACTTGGATTTCCAAAGACACCTTGAACGTGTATCTATATAAATATACCATAATTTATTTATTCTATTGTTGATGGACATTTGGGTTGTTTTCAGTTTTTTGCTATTGTTTTCTCCTTCATGAAAATTTATTCCTTTTCCTACATTTTCTGTTTCAGTGAATAGTACCACATCTACCCAGTTGCCCAAGCCAGCAACTTAGGAACTTTTGTTTACTACTATACTTTACCACCTCCCATCATCAGCCCACCCTATTTACTCAGTCACAAATCCTGACTATTATCATTCTCAACAACAGCTTCTTATTTGGTCTCCCTGTCTACCTCAGATTTGTGTCACTCTTATTTTAAATCCTTCAGTGATTCTCCCTTGCCTGTAACTTGATGAAGTCCAAGTTTCTTAGCAGGGAATACTATGGCCTCTATGATCTGGCCCTTACTGTTCTTTTTCATTTTACATCTCTCCTCTTCACTTCTGTGCTCCAGCTTTGCTGAGCTACATTCAGCAACTCAGATGTATCATGTTCTCTTTATAGACCCTGTGCCTTTCTAATTACTTCCACTTCTTTTTTTGCCTGGCTAACTCTTATTTGTTCTTCAACCCTAAATTAGATCTCCCAAACATTGTTTTTTTTTTTTACCTTTTTTTCCCCCAAAAGCATTCTTTTGAGAAACATTTCCTAACTGCCTCTAAGAAAAGACAAATTGTTCACTACTCAGCTCTTCCTTTAGACTGACAGCTCCTTGAGGACAAGCACTATTTTGTGTGTGTGTGTGTGTGTGTGTGCGGTACGCGGGCCTCTCACTGTTGTGGCCTCTCCCGTTGCGGAGCACAGGCTCTGGACGCACAGCCTCAGCAACCATGGCTCACGGGCCCAGCCGCTCCGCAGCATGTGGGATCTTCCTGGACCGGGGCACGAACCCGTGTCCCCTGCATCGGCAGGGGGACTCTCAACCACTGCGCCACCAGGGAAGCCCCTACAAGCACTATTTTTAAATCCTTTTTTGTAACTTTGGTGCCTAGCACGTGGAGGCATTCCTAAATACTTGTTGGCTAAATAAAATGCTCTGAATTGAATAATTTAAATTGAGCGTAAAGTACCTATTGTTATGCACACTGATTTTTTATTGTCTTGTACACACTTTTTGATTTTGACTTTGATTCAGAGGTCTAGATACTGAAGAAATAATACTTTGTTCTATAAGGTACCTTATACCTTGGAGTCCCATGTGATTGGCACAAATCTGGATTTGCCCCCTCTATGTCAGATTGGTGGGAATTCTAGCCTTAGAGTCATAGAATGGCTCATGCAATCCCTGTAAGAAACTTGGCAGCTTCAGGCTACTTTGGGAGATTTCTCTTAAAAATAGGGAAAATATGGAGTCACCTCACTCTGTAGGGGAAGTGTTCATTCCACAGTGATAGAAAGTAGTCTTTGTTAAGAGTTCTGGATTGCAAGGTTCTCAGAGGTTCCACAAAACTTATCAGTTGGTGCTTTTAAAGTCCTCTTTTGCCTTTGGACCTATAACAACTTAAAGTTCTTTAATCTTAATGAGAGAGGAAGGAGAAACACCCAGGTTACCCCCTGCCCTTTCTGACAGGACTTAAGCAAGTATGTACTTAGTTTTTATACTTTAGAATAATTTTATATTAAGTGATATTTTTAAAAACATATATTTCTTAATCATCTGTGTTAATTGCAGGGGCAGGGGAGAGAAAAGGAAACTCGTCCTCACTCTTTGCTTATTATCTGTTGTGGTGACTATCTTTATATAATGGTTAGTGTAATATATAATCAAATGTAAGATTGTGGTGTTCAGGCCCACTCCTTGGGTAGGGCAAATGGGATGGTCATCTTGAACTTTGCCCTTGTTGGTACAGGGTGAGGAGTAATCCCCCCTTACTCTTCTTTTCTAAATACGACTAAAATTCAATTTTAAACATTTTGGAAGGGGGAATGGGGTGGGGGGATTGGGAGCAGGCATGAAAGGGGCTCCTGGGGTGCTGGTAATGTTATACTTATATGTTCACTTTGATAATTTATTGATCTATACATATGTTTTATGTACTTTTCTGTATATGTCTTATGTCAATAAAAATCTTTTAGACAATTCAATTTAGAAATTTCTGTCTTTAAACATTTCTCTAGGAGCCTATGAAAGATGTTAATGGTGAGGCTCTTTTTAAGTGCCATTAGTTTTGCATGGTCCGCTATGGGTTGAGGAACCTTGCCCTTGTGGTGTGCAAATTTTAAGTGGGGTTGGAGAATGGTGAAGGGAGAAATTAGTGTGGGCAGGAGTAGTCAGGAAAAACAAAATAGTTATTCATTCAGTAAACATTAACTGAGCATGAACCATCTACCAGGTGCTGTGCTGACACAGAAAACTTGAATGAGACTGGAGGTCAGAGTTGGAGGGAAAAATAAGATCTAGGTTATAGATCAATAATCCTGGTTATAGATCTCTATTTGTCTTTACGGAATAATAAAAATAGCAAGTGTTTATTTAGCATTTCTTGTTTGCTGAAGCTTTACATATATTACCTTTTAATCTTCACAGTAACCCTGAGATAGGCCCTACTGCTAATATCTCATTTTATTTCCTCTAATAGATGAGGAAACTGAAGTACAAAGATGCTTAAAGTCACTCACCTAGGAAGTAGTAGAGCTAGGATTCAAGCCCAACTGTCTGGCTCCCTGTTTCTCTGTTCAAAATTACTGTGCTATGTGAAACTAATGCAAAAAATATTGGAAATGTAGGTTGACCTGGAGACACTATTGGAGATGGTCAGTAATCCTGCTTCTGGTACTCTGTGGTTTATGTATTTTGGAGCTCTGTGTGAATGCCTTTTCTTCTTTTTACAGACATGGCTGGATTCTGCCAAAGAAATAAAAAAGCAGGTTCGTGGTAAGTGAATATAGCCCTTTTTCTAGCTCTTTCTTTTTTTTAGTAGGTCAGAGGATTTCCAACCTTTTTCTGGCTGTGAGTCACTTTAGAATTCTGACTATGGTAGATGGCTTTGAAATTAAGATAAAGCCTTCCTTTGGAAGGTAGAGATTCCATAATAGAAAGATACAGCAGAGGTAGACACTATTGAGATGTAGGTCAGATCTTGATGATTTTTTTTTTTACAACTAGGCAAAGTGGGGGAAGATAGGAATGATTGAGAGAAACAGAAGGTGGAAACAAACAAAGAATAGAAGAGAAAAGGATATGGGAGTCAGTTCTCACAATGGTAGTGATTGAAACTGTAGTAGCTTACGATTGGGAGTTTGCTGCCTGATCCTGTTCCATTTAAATTGTTCTGGACTATTGAGTTCTAACCTTCTCCATGTTTTCTTCTCTATAGTTCTTTTTTGTCCCTTTTCAACCATCTTCTTCCAAATTGAAGTATGTAAGGAACTGTGGAAGGAAAAAAAAGAATAGAAGAAATTCCTTGCCAGTGACCCTTCTGTCATTGTGGCTTTCTCTTAGCTCCAAGCCCTCTGGCATATATTACTGCTGAACACCCTGCTCAGACTGGTGTCCTGGGATAGATTTTTCTAGGTTGATTAAAGTCTAGATTAGTATTTTGTAGCCTCAGGCCCAATGGGCTAAAGGGTAGAGACTTTACCCACCCACCCCCACCCCCACCCCCCCAGTTATGACTAGATGTCCTTTTAGTTTAGTTTATTTTTGAGGAAACTTGTAGGAACTGCAATAGATGTTATTCATCACGATTAGTAAGTTTTAACTGTATCACCTGAAAAGAAGTTTTATTTTTCATTTGTTTCTTAAAAGAAAACACTTTTGTTATGGTGAAATGTTTTCTTTTAGACCCTATTTATTTATATTTCTTAAGATAGAGAAACAAAATACTACTTTGGCCTGACAACTCTCCATATTTGCTTTCTGCCTATAAAATCTTGTTTTAAAATGCAAATCAGAGTAAAAAATATTCAGAATATTTGAGACATGACAACAAAAAACATGATTCCAAGCCCCTTTCAATGAAGATACTTTTAATATTCAATATTACTCAGGAATAAATGATTGTACAAGAAGACTTTTTAGGAAGAAAAGTTAAAACAGAGTTTATGATGAGTGGAGAAGACTATCTAGTAGATTATCTTCCAAGCTATTGAGAAAAAAAAAACTCTCGCTAAGAAAAATAACCTAAGTGTTTGTCGTTTAAAAAAAATTTACAAAATAATAAAACCTCTTCCTTCAACATGGGAAAGAAAAACCGTGTCTGTAACACAAACTTTAACATCAAAATGTAAGTATTTCACATTCAGCCGGCCGGTCGGCGCGACGGGCTTTCCGTCCTAGAACCATGGCCCAGTTTGTCCGTAACCTCGCGGAGAAGGCCCCAGCGCTGGTCAGCACTGCTGTGACTTACTCGAAGCCTCGATTGGCCACATTTTGGCACTATGCCAAGGTTGAGCTGGTTCCTCCAACCCCTGCTGAGATCCCTACAGCTATTCAGAGGTTGAAAAAAATTATCAATAGTGCTCAAACTGGTAGCTTCAAACAGCTTACAGTTAAGGAAGCTCTACTGAATGGTTTGGTGGCCACTGAGGTGTGGATGTGGTTTTATGTTGGCGAGATCATAGGCAAGCGTGGCATCATTGGCTATAATGTTTGAAGACCAGTCTTTGCTTTATTATTTGGGTGTTCTTGGACCATGTGTGAGCAGACTGCTATTTGAATAAAATAAGACAATGTGTCAGAAAAAAAAAAAAATGTAAGTATTTCATTGAGCCAAAGAGAAGGTTGACATTTATCTATTGCAAAGATTTTGGGTTTTTAAAAAATAGTTTTCACGGGCTTCCCTGGTGATGCAGTGGTTAAGAAGCCGCCTGCCAATGCAGGGGACACGGGTTCGAGCCCTGGTCCGGGAAGATCCCACATGCTATGGAGCAACTAAACCCGTGCGCCACAACTACTGAGCCTGCACTCTAGAGTCCACGAGCCACAACTGCTGAGCCCGTGTGCCGCAACTATAAAGCCCTCACACCTAGAGCCCATGCTTCGCAACGAGAAGACTCTGCAATGAGAAGCCTGTGTGGCGCAACTAGAGAAAGCCTGAGCACAGCAACGAAGACCCACAGAGCCAAAATTAAAAATAAATAAAATAAATAAATTTATTTTTCAAAAAAGCCCTTGAGTTTAAAAAAAAAGTTTTCATCATACAAGTAATATATACCCATTTGAAAAATTTAAGCATTGTGAAAATATATCATGAAGCAAGTAAAAAGCCTGTAAAGCCTATCCTCCAGATATAATCACTGTTAAATTGGTATGATCTGTAAGATTTTTTCTAGGCATATATAAATTTTGCTTTTCAAAAATACAATTATGTTATACATTGTTATATATTGTATCTTCTGTATATTATGTCATATGTAGTTTTAAAATTTTTAAAATAGGTGATATAAATATGAGGTATAAAACTAAAAGATACAGATGAATATAATACAAGGTCAATCTTCCTTCTTCCCCTGTCCTTTAACTAATTTCTTGTGTTTTGTCCAGAGATGTTCTGAGTGTATATAGACATACATTTTAATATAAATATGTATTTAATGCATACATTATATTTTATATATAATATACTTTATAAATTTATTTTAATATAAATATGTATGTTCTATATGTATTTAATATACATATGCAATCTTTAACATAATTTGTATACTCTTTATATTAATATATATCAATTTATTTCATTTGTTAAAAATATTTTTTAATGATTATAAAGTTATAGCACTGTGTATATATATATATATATATAGAGAGAGAGAGAGAGAGAGAGAGAGAGAGAGAGAGAGAGCATGTATTGAATATATATGTATATGTGCACTTAGATGTATCTGTAGTAAATTGCTAGAAGTAGAATAAAAAAGTATGAATGTTTAAATTTGTAATAGATATTCACCAGTAAGATTTTTTCCATATTTCAAAAAATATAGAAAAGAATGGAGGCTAATATAACAAATACCCATGTACCCATCACCCAGAATTAACATGTGTTAACTTTTACATTTAAAATAGAACAGTACAGGTAAGGTTTATCTCCTAGTCCCATCCCCTTCTCTCCCTATCCGTAGAAATCTATTTTCATGAAATTGAGGTGAGTCAGTCCATGTTTTTATATTTTTCCTTCATATATCCATACCCATGTACAATAGATAGTATTGCTTCACCTGTATTTTTGAAATTTCCCTCGGACCTAACAATCCATTTGAACCTTCTATGGTTTATCAGCCTCTCTCCCTTCTCCCAGCTTAATATTTAGCTTTGTTTAACTTCCTTGGTTCTGAATAAGAGAGATCTCCCCTGCTGAGTCAGGCTAGCAACTTCCACCTCCTTCTGGAATAGTACAGAGCAAAAGCAAGAAATCCTTATACCTTCTGAAAAATACTGATACATAAAATAACACAAACTGTGTTTAAGAAATTCTATAGCCCAGGATATGCCCCTTCTAAATGTATCCTCCTCTCCTTCCCCTGCAGAAGTCACCACTGCCCTGAATTTTGTGTTAATGATTCCATTGTACTTTTTAATGTTTTTAAAAAATTACCTGATGTATGAATGTATACCTAAAAATATTGTTTTACCTTTCTGAGCATCATATAAATTGAATTATATAACAGTTAATCATTCGTGACTACCTTTTCTTATAAACATGATTTTGGAATTCATCTCAGTTGAAAAGAAAATTTCACAGTGATATCCTCTGAGTTTTTTCTTTTTCTTTTATTTTTGGCTGCACTGTGCGGCTTGTGGGATCCTAGTTTCCCCACCAGGGACTGAAGCCGGGCCCTGGCAGTGAAAGTGCCAAGTCCTAACCACTGGACTGCCAGGGAATTCCTCCTCTGACCTTTTTCTCTTGTATTCTGTTTCATTTTTAAAAATGCTGATTTTGACCCATTAAACTGATTTCACAATGGATCATGATCCACAGTTTAAAAAACCCCACCAGGACTTCCCTGATGGTGCAGTGGTTAAGAATCCGCCTGCCAATGCAGGGGACACAGGTTCGAGCCCTGGTCCAGGAATATTCCACATGCCGTGGAGCATGTGCCACAGCTCTACAGCCTGTGAGCCACAACTACTGAGTCCGAGTGCCACAACTACCGAAGCCTGGGCGCCTAGAGCCTGTGCTCTGCAACAAGAGAAGCCCCCGCTTGCTGCAACTAGAGAAAGCCCGCGCACAGCAACAAAGACCCAACGCAGCCAAAAATAAATTAATTAATTAAAAAAAAACCACCCCACTGATTTAGGCTTAAAGTGGAATTGCTAGATTATAGAGTATGTTTATTTTTAGTTTTACCAGATATAGCCAAATTGCTCTCCTTTAAATTGATTGTAATAGTTTACATCCCCACCAATAGTGTATGAGATAGTTCCTGTTTTCCTGTGTACCCAGAAGGCAGGAATTTGTTTTCAATTATTAATTTTAAAAATGTTTGGACACAATTTCAGACTTAAAAGTTGAAATAATGGTACAAAGAATTCCTGGGTGCCCTTCACCCAGATTCCTCAGATGTTAATATTTTACTATTTTATCTTTTCTCTTTATCTACACACACACACACACACACACACACACACACACACACAAAACCTTTTTTCTGAACCATTTAATAGTAAGTTGCATCATAGCAGCGCCATTCACAATAGCCACTTTTTTCTACCCCCAACTTTCACAGTTGCTTTCTATATGTGCTGTTCTTTGCCTTGATTTTTTTTTTTCACTTAACAGTATATAGTGGCAGTGTATCTTTTCTTGCTAAATAAATACATTTAGGTTGTTTCCAGACATTTGCTATTACAAACAATATCTTATACCTGTATCAGTTGACCACGTTTAAGTGTATGTTTAGATACATTTATGAAAGTGGAATTGCTAGGTGAAAGAGTATATACATTTTATGTTTTGATAGATATTCTCAATTGTTCTCCATAGTGTTGTACCCGTTTACACTCACATCAGCAGTAGAAGAAAGTGCTTATTTTCCCCACCAATCGTGGGTGTTATCAAGCTTTTTATATCAGTTAGCTCAAAGAGAAAAAAAAATCACACTTTGTAAACTGTTGTTGGTTTGCTTTCTTTAATGCTAGTCTTCCTATACTATTAAAAAATTGCCATTTATATATGTTATGAGATAACTGAATTTGTGTTTAAAGTTCTTAAATGCTGAATTCACATTTATTGAACACTCTTTTAGCTGTCTTGTTTCCCATATTGATTTGCTCTAGTCAGTACATTTTTAAAAATAAATTTATTTACTTATAGCTATGTTGGGTCTTCATGCTGCACGTGGGCTTTCTCTAGTTGCAGCGAGCAGGGGCTACTCTTCGTTGTGGTGTGCGGGCTTCTCATTGCGGTGGCTTCTCTTGTTGCGGAGCATGGGCTCTAGGCGCGTGGGCTTCAGTAGTTGTGGCTCATGGGCTCTAGAGCACAAGCTCAGTAGTTGTGGCGCACACGGGCTTTGTTGCTCCGCGGCATGTGGGATCTTACTGGACCAGGGCTCGAACCTGTGTCCCCTGCACTGGCAGGTGGATTCTTAACCACTGTGCCACCAGGGAAGCCCTCTAGCCAATACATTTTTTATAGGTAGCATAGAAGTCATCTTTTTTTAATGTCTATATGGGAATTATAAGTTAACAATGATTAGATTATTAACATATCATAATCATAACAACAGATGGTATTTTACAGTATTTGAACTGTAAATATTGCCTCCCCATCCCCTTACCTTTTTATGAGAAACAATTATGGGGTTGGTTTCCTAAGTTCCATTTAAAGTTTCTGGGATATGAAACATTAGAAGTGAGTTAATGGTAAGCATTAGGATTGAGTAGATTTGAGACAAGTTTGTTTTATTGTCTGGAATTTGCCTTTTAGTTCAAATTTTGAAGGAAAATATCAACCATTTCCAAGGGACTCCTGTATTAAATATTTTAGCATGCTTAAAACTGCATATTCATTAAGACATTTAAACTATTTCAAATTTTAATTTGCATATGGTCATTGGCAGCCAATAGCAATAAAAATGATATTTGGAGATGAAATGCTGTGAATGCAAAACAGAACAATGTTTGAAACACAGATGTTTGTTATAGGGTAGTAGAGTCCAATGGTTAAAAGCATGGGATTTGGGGTAAGAGAACCCTGGATTCACTAGCTATGTATTTTCTTAAGCCTCTGTTTCTTCATAAATAAAATGAACTAATAGTAGCACCTACCTGTATGTAAGAGGGCTAGCTTAGTACCTGGCATGCAGTAAGTACTGAACAAAATGTATCTCTTAGCATCATAACCAATCATACTTATTTCTTTTTTTTTTTTTTTTTTTTTTTTTGCTGTATGCGGGCCTCTCACTGTTGCGGCCTCTCCTGTTGCGGAGCACAGGCTCTGGACGCGCAGGCTCAGTGGCCACGGCTCACGGGCCTAGCTGCTCCGCGGCATGTGGGATCTTCCCGGACCGGGGCACGAACCTGTGTCCCCTGTATCAGCAGGTGGACTCTCAACCACTGCGCCACCAGGGAAGCCCAATCGTAACTTATTTATAACTGAGACCAGGCCCTACTCTTTGGGAAACTGTCATGTTAGAAAAACCTTGAAGGGGTAGCACTTAGCTGGAAAAATTGAAATGCATTCTCCACTTAACTTTTACTCACAATCTCTGATTTTCATTGTAGATAAAAAGTATGAAACACTTGTATGAGTCTT